TTTTTAGGGGGATTTTGGGGAATTTTGGGGAATTTTTGGGGAATTTTTTGGGAATTTTAGGGGATTTGGGGAATATTTTGAGAATTTTGGGGGGATTTTGGGAATTTTAGGGAATTTTTGGGGAATTTTTTTTTAATTTTAGGGGATTTGGGGGGATTTTAGGGGAATTTTGGGGAATTTTGGGAGGATTTTGGGGATTTGGGGGGATTTGGGGAATTTTTTGGGAATTTTGGGGAATTTTTGGGGAATTTTGGGGGATTTTGGGGGAATTTGGGGGGATCTGGGGAATATTTTGGGAATTTTTGGGGATTTTGGGAAGAATTTGGGGGGATTTTGGGGGGATTTTGGTGCATTTTAGGCTGGATTTTGGGCTGGATTTTGGGGCGATTTCAGGGCATTTTGGGGCTGTATTTCGGGGTATTTTGGGGCTGTATTTTGGGTCGATTTCAGGGTATTTTGGGCCGTATTTCAGTGTATTTTTGGCTGTATTTTGGGGCGATTTTGATGCACTTTGGGCTGGATTTTGGGGCGATTTCAGGAGATTTTGGGCTGGATTTTGGGCTGAATTTTGGGTCGATTTCAGGAGATTTTGGGCTGTATTTTGGGCTGTATTTTGGGTTGATTTCAGGATATTTTGGGCCGTATTTCAGTGTATTTTTGGCTGTATTTTGGGGCGATTTTAGGGTATTTTGGGCTGGATTTTGGGGCGATTTCAGGGCATTTTGGGCTGTATTTCAGTGTATTTTTGGCTGTATTTTGGGGCGATTTTAGGGTATTTTTGGCTGTATTTTGGGTCGATTTCGGGGTATTTTGGGCCGTATTTCAGCGTATTTTTGGCTGGATTTTGGGTCGATTTCAGGGTATTTTGGGCTGTATTTTTGGCTGTATTTTGGGTCGATTTCAGGAGATTTTGGGCTGTATTTTGGGCCGTATTTCAGTGTATTTTTGGCTGTATTTTGGGTCGATTTCAGGATATTTTGGGCCGTATTTCAGCATATTTTTGTCTGTATTTTGGGGCGATTTCAGGGCATTTTGGGCTGGATTTTGGGTCGATTTCAGGAGATTTTGGGCTGGATTTTGGGCTGTATTTTGGGGTGATTTCAGGGCATTTTGGGCCGTATTTCAGTGTATTTTTGGCTGTATTTTGGGTCGATTTCAGGATATTTTGGGGCTGTATTTCGGGCCGTATTTCAGTATATTTTGGGCTGGATTTTGGGGCGATTTCAGGATATTTTGGGCCGTATTTCAGTGTATTTTTGGCTTTATTTTGGGCTGTATTTCAGGATATTTCGGGTTGTATTTCAGGATATTTTGGGCTGTATTTCAGTGTATTTTTGGCTGTATTTTGGGTCGATTTCAGGATATTTTGGGCTGTATTTCAGGATATTTTTGGCTGTATTTTGGGCTGTATTTCAGTGTATTTTTGGCTGTATTTTGGGCTGTATTTCAGGGCATTTTGGGCTGGATTTCAGTGTATTTTGGGGCTGGATTTTGGGGCGATTTCAGGAGATTTTGGGCTGTATTTTGGGGCGATTTCGGGGTATTTCGGGCCGTATTTCAGTGTATTTTGGGGCTGTATTTTGGGTCGATTTCAGCGTATTTTTGGCTGTATTTTGGGCTGTATTTCAGGATATTTTGGGCCGTATTTCAGTGTATTTTTGGCTTTATTTTGGGGCGATTTCAGGATATTTTTGGCTGTATTTCAGCGTATTTTTGGCTGTATTTTGGGTGGATTTCAGGATATTTTGGGCCATATTTCAGTGTATTTTTGGCTGTATTTTGGGTTGATTTCAGGAGATTTTGGGCTGGATTTTTGGCTGTATTTTGGGCTGTATTTCAGGGCATTTTGGGCCGTATTTCAGTGTATTTTGGGGCTGTATTTTGGGTCGATTTCAGGAGATTTTGGGCCATATTTCAGTGTATTTTTGGCTGTATTTTGGGCTGTATTTCAGGATATTTTGGGCCGTATTTCAGCGTATTTTTGTCTGTATTTTGGGTGGATTTCCGTGCCTTTG